TGACATCATAGGCAAAGAACTGAACTCAACAAAAAGAAACTAGGAATTCACGTATTCATTATCACTATGCCCTGTCATTCTGTAGGTCTGTTAAGACACAAGATTTAAATTCGCTGCCATTTCCTAAAAAGTATTTCACAACATTCATTCTATTTAGTGAACAAAGCTTTCACGGTGAGATGTTTCCATTATGATTAATTGGATGCTGCCAATTTCCTAAACAGAAAGAGACCTGTCATCTTTTCTATTCTCTGACAGAAGGCCCAATAGCCAAACTGCCATGGTGGAGACAGTAAACCACAAAACATGGCAATTCCTATTGTGGGGAATAACAGTATTCTCCAAATTATCACAAGATTAATATAAGTATTACCGTATAGCTAGAAAAGCCCATCCATTTTGTACTTTCTATTTCTCTTTTACTTTGGTTTACATGGTTTGTTTACACATTTCCCTTTCAAAAAGATTGAGCAGTGTTCTAAGTGCATTCTGTTCTCTAATTTTTAATTGTTCCATTTTTAAAAAATGTAACCTAGTAAGTAATCCCTTTTAATTACATCTAATAAAATATATAGGAAGTAAGCAGTAAAATCAATAAGACTTGATGGAATAAAAAGGGGGGGGGGTTATGATTTGTTTGAAGGGTACAAGGTAAGGGAGGGAGAGAGACTGGATATTCCAATCAATTATAGCCTCCGCTGGAAAAGTCCTGTCCCAGCAAACCTGATGTGCTTTCACAATAGGCCAGAGAGAAAAATTTGTCAGGAACATGGTTAGAACCCTAAGCAACATTCACTTTCTTAATAAGGAACTACTGCCACAGTCTTTATTAGATTTTTTTTAAAAAACATTGCAGCTGATATACAAATGCCTACTCCACATTGATTAAAGCAACAATAGCGGCAGACCATGGGAGAGTTCTTAATTGTGGTGGATTTTCAGTCATGACATACCTACAATGCGAAATTCTCCTCCCCTCCACCACATGCAGTCTTCTTAGGCCTCACTGTTTTATATCCTACGTTCCAGTGTGGAACCCAAAGATCTCAGCAGATTCTTATTCAAGAAATGAAGTAGCAGATAAGAGTCAACAGCATCATGTTGCTAAGCAATGATTCTCAGCTTCTCTGTGGATTTTTTGGTTACTATGGTGACAACAGGGTAAGCATGCATATTACACCAAATTGTGTCTTTCCTCCTTAAAAAGTAAAGACAGATTTGGTCCTTCCATCCTAGAGAGCTCAAGGAATGAGACAAGATGACTGGATCCAGCTCACAACAAGAGCTACTGAGGCTTTCATTCCCCTCACAATTGAATAACATTTGATGAAACTTTTCAAAATTGGATCTTTCGCAGGGTCTGGACCTGTCAACCTTTAGAACTTTCTTTGCCCAGAGATGGTGAATACTGTGGAATGTGGAAATAGCAGCCTTTTACCAACCATTTCATATTTTATTGACCTAGGTGCATTCACAGTGTTGATACCACTCTTGGTGTCCTGGGATGAAATAAGATGGATGTTACACACAAGGTCATGTCTGGAGGAAGCCAGATGTTGTATATAACTTCCTAATTATCTGTGTTATTGCCTAGGGACCCAGACTAAGTTACTTTTCAGGTCTTCTCCCCTCCACATTATCAAGGCCCATCCAAACAGTTTCTTTTCTTTTCAGCCACTTTGCCCCAAAACAGTTTGCTCATCAGGATTTCAAGCGTTAAGACACGATCTTAGGATAGGCCTGTTTAGGGCTACTTTGCTGGTTTTCCTACCTCAATCTTACAATTAAGAGCCCATAAATGAAATGTGGAATGGAACAGCAGCATTCCAAAACTATATGAAGCGGTGTTCTTCGGTCTGTATCAGTCCATCTTATTAATTTAGTACAGTTGCAGACATGGCTTTGGATCTGAAAGCAGAAGCGTGCAGGGGTACAAATATCTGTAGCTTCTTAAAGCAGCCGCTTCTTTTCCTGGATCACATAGCTGCTGTTTAATTCCAGAAAAAGGTATGAACTGTCGAATGCTGCTACCACCACATTCAAACATCCCCATGTTGCCCAAAGCACTATAGCCCTGATAGACAGTACCATACTTTAATTCATTCCATCAGACTAGACCAATATTTCTCAACCTTGGTAAATTTAAGATGTGTGGACTTCAACTCCCAGAATTCCCCAGCCAGCATGGCTGACTGGGGAATTCTGTCAGTTGAAGTCCACATGTCTTAAAGCTGCCAAGGTTGAGAAACACTGGATTAGACAAATAAAATGCATAAGGTACGGAAAGTGAAATAAGCCACAGTTTGTTCTTTTGCAGGTAAACGTATTATGAATGTGCATCATTTGCCTCAGCAGAGTTCAATGTCTGTTAACAATTGCCTGATAGGTAGAAATTAGGCAGGTGCAGGCTTACTTTTCCTAGAAAACATTAGATCCCCCAGGATTAAGATTAAATTGCAGCCTGAATATTACTTTACTTTTGTCTTATACTGTATCTTACCAGATGAAAACTGTGTTTCATTTGTCCCAAGTTTTTGATTTAGGAAAACCACATTTCTGCAGTTAAACATAAAATATAATTAGAATTATAATATTTTTGCACATTTCTTTTATATAATTTTTTCAACTGCACTAAGCTGTACATGAAAAGATTTGTTTCAATAAACCCAAGAGAAAAAAGCATGAATCAAGAAATTGTAATTTCTATTTGATGTTAGGTGAGACCATCTGATTGTCTTTTTTTAGCAATGTGCCTGTATTTGTTGATTTGGAGTAAATGTTAAAGATTGTTCTAACAGATACAAAACTTTCATAACAAATGCAACCTAGCAGTATGGAAGTAGAACTATTTTTATACTTCTTGTCCCCCCTCCCACCAGGCATCCATAGTTACACTAGAGCATGTAAGTTAAATGGATTAATATATAATAATGAGTTATTACCTGATTTACACGAGAGTTATGGCTATGCTCTAAAAACTGAGTAAAGGATAGAATTATAGCCTAGTTCAGTTGTGCTAAGATTAATTGATCTGTGCTGAATCCAAACCTTACTAAGCTAAAAAGAGGCAGATAATTTGTTTGCTTTGGAGCTCCTGTTGGATTTAATGACTGAATCCACACAGCATTCTAAGCTTCGTTTAACCATGGCTTATTGAACAAACCACAATGGTTAGATTTACCACAATATGTTAGTCTAAAACCAGACACATCCCATGAATGGCTTTGTGCAATATGTGCTTTAGGACTTGATGTCAATGGCATTGTGGCAAATGCAAATCTAGGCTCAGCTGCGTAGAATACTGGCTTTGAGCAGCACCATTTTTTTCACCCTGGCTGATGGTGGACAGGCACCTCAGCAACATTTTGCTCAGGGTCAATGAATCCAGATCACATTAATAGAATCTTGTATTACAAAGATTCCTAATTAAAATAAGATACTTTAAAAAAAAGATATATCTAAGACTAGCAACATTGGAGGTAGACTTTAGCATACCCCCAGAGAGCTCCTATTTGCTGTTCTTGGGGTAGGAGGGAATGAATTATTCATCTTTCCAGATGATCTAAACACTGAATGATGCAGGATAGTGCAGAGAAAGGCAATACAGTACTTCATCTTGCATAATGGGACCATGACTAACTATCCTCTTATTATGCTAATATTGGGCATCATGAGGTAACTTATTCATATTTTAAAAGAGGCCCCCATTGAAAAACCATCTACATGTATGGCATCTTAAAGCCAGCAATTGATATTTCATAAATTCAGAAACCATTTGTGCAGACTTCATCTTCTTTGTTTGGCAGAGGAGATGGAGTATATTCGAGGAAATTAATTTAATGTCAAATTACCCTGAATACAAAAAACAACAAC